CATTCCAGGGTCTCCAGTTTAGCGCTTTGCAGAAGTGATGGATATGTCTTACTTTTGGGCATTGAAAATTAATTTTACAGCTTTTCGCTATATTGATTCAATTTTATCTGTGTTAGCTTGCATGTGTGGGTCCCAGACAGCCAATGAGTATTCTAGTATTGGTATTACGTACGTTTCACATGAGGTCCTTTAGGTTCACTGCATGCCTTAGCGAGTGCCCATCTTAGGTAGCCTAGTATTTTCAAAGCCTTTTTCTGAGTATAAGACACTTGTTCGTTCCATCTTAAATCAGATGTGATGACAAGACCAAGGTGCGTATACTGTGAGACAAAGGGCAAGAATTGATTGCCGAGGTTGTATTGCAATTTTAATTTATCTTTTTTGTGGGTTATGGTTCTCGCCAAAGTTTTTCTCCCGTTAAAGATGATCTGTCATTTTGTGCACCAATGTTGAATCTTAGATGAAGAGGTATTTAAAAGAACCTGGTCACTGTAAGCGTTCACTACTTTAAAGCACGCACGCATCTGCAAAAAGCTTTAGATTTTCTGGGATATCACAAGTGGAATTATTGATATAAACCGGAAAGAAAAGAGACCCGAGGATGGATCCCTGAGATATGCCGGATTTAAGTGGCGCGGACGGCGAGTTGATACCACCGTCCATAATATCGCGCCCGGTGAATATTACTCGCAATTTCAAAGCCTGACCAGTGATGTGTTAGTTAATTAGCACTAATTAACCTATCAGTAAACAACTGTAACTACCATGTAAGCTGTAAAACTCGAGAATGTGCTGTTAATTCAGGGGTCTATGTGGTACATACACTGAATGTTCGGAAACACCCACTTCGTCTTTTTTTTTAAATACCCCATTGATGTGCTATACTATCGATCTTTACCTCAACGAACCCTAAATATATTTTTACAGGCTCATGAATGTGCCTTCCATATAAGAACGCTCTCTTTTTTCGCGCGCCCTAATTTAATTTTTACGTGGCACTGTAGGGTACACCATCTCTACGCTAGATGGAGCTACAAGGGCTTGACGGCTGTCGCACCTTGAACAAAACTGGCCAGGGAACTTTTTTTTCCCACGCGATTCAAACACGCTCTATACCATCACAAACTAGACATATGCCAGTACCTAAATCCCAGAAAGCAATTGGATATCTTCAAGCACGTCTCCAGGGCAGCGATTCAAACGCGGTAAAACAGCCGATATTTCCGAGAGCGCCCATAGGCGCTGTGCATTATCTTTTAATAAGCTAGGGAACTCGCACTATTGCAACTACGATACTGTGACTCCTGCCGAAGAAAGGTTCATACAGTTGCTACTTTAAACCGTGAAAGCAATGAGAAAATCGGAAAGGGAGAGGAGTTATTATCGTTTTGCTCTCCCGTCCCATAGAGTGACGTGGGGCCTCGCCCCACCGTGCGGGAAAGCGCGCCTTCTGCTCGTGGGCCGGAATCCTGGGGACGAAGTTTTCACAGTTTATTCATCATATCCTGCATCGAAAGTAATAGGCACACATGTGTGGAGTAAGCTAGGCTCACATTGAGAGCATAATAACTAATCACAATCTGTCAACTTGTTCTCTATCTACCAGAAAGACATTGAAGTATCACTGATACCTAATGAACCTCGGGATTTTATACAAAATGCATCCATGCATTCTCGAGTAGTTGTGTTCCTGCTTCTGCCAATAATCCAAACCTTATCCAGGTACGGCTCACACTTATGAGAATCGCAATGCGTCATCAATGTGCCCCATCTTTATCTTTTAACGAAAGCTCATGTTTCTGTGCATGCTCATTCACGCATATTCTTGCCCAGACAACATTCATCTTTTGCCGTAGGATAGCGGAAATTCATAAACGACCCCGTTGACGCATTTTGTGTATGATTAGCGTGCCTCTTGCCGTACCCACATTTGTTGCTTCCATCAGAGAGTATACTAGTATACATGAGAAAGCTGAGATGATTTTCATGGCGCAGAAAAAAGAATCGGCATGACATCTCTGTTTGCAACCCTTTTTAGGTCATGTGCAGCTCGGTGCATACATGGTACAGCCTCCGGTCTCGCTGTTCTGCGCTGTTGCTCTTCGCCAGTACCGTGGTGTTCTCTCTTGATAGTCTAGTGGAGCAACTCAGCTACAACGTTCAGGAGCATGCGAAGGAAACCAACCACAGACAACCAATCCAATTGGTTTTGAATAGTCTTCTGCAGAACGTGTGAGCACGACTCTGCACATGCATACTCTGGGCATTGTTCAGCTATGGCCCTTTTCACAGTTTTGGGATGCGTCAACTTGTATGGAAGCAATTCTTTTGCACACCTAGACAAAAAAAAAAAGCCAACAGCCGTGATAACTCTGAAAGGTAATGCGCTAAGCCAAAAACTGCGAAGAGCCACAAGCCTTCAACTCATGTGTAAACACCAATCCTATTTCAGTCTATGAAATCCTGCTAAAACATTGTTAACAATGGGCTAAAATGTGACGGTGGTTAGTTGTTTTAGAATAATAAAAAATTCCATATATGAGAGCTTCTAAAACCTCCGACTAAATAAAATGTTGATGGAACGTAATAAATATTGTTACGGTCAAACATAAAAAATCCCACAACACAGGAGCGACATACGAGCCTACAAAAATGCCTCGTCCTTTAATTTAAAATCGCTAATGAAGTTGACTTTAACATAAAGTTTGAGAAGGGCCGTAAAAGCTTATACTGTCATGCCAGCGGCATTCCTGAAGGCAACCACACCACTCTCGTCTATGCAACTTCTTATGCAGAAAAACATTTCACCGTTCAGGACAAAATCAAATAGGTCCTCAACATCAACCAAGAAGAAATACCCATCAAATGATTCTTTGAAGAAAAGAAAGTAGATGATGCATGGGGAATTCTCAGTTTAAAATGACTATTTTATAACAATCGAGTCTAGCCGCTTCATGAAAAACTGACTAATCACAATCTGCCGTATACCTCAACCACTGACAATCGTCCTGAATGAAACCCCTGGCTTAAGCGTCTTGGTCATTGTCACAAACGACTCCAATTTTCGGAGCATCCGCGGGCCACACCTACCAAGGAAGGGCGTTTTTGTGGGGAGACGACATCCGGCGACTATAACGACCCAGCGTGGCGCCGGCTCGTCTTCCCTGCCCCTGACCGGAAGGGGAACCGGCGGTCTCAACAAGGAGAATTACTCCCAGATGAGATGGGAGCACGTGGACGCCCCTGAAGTGGTTTGAACTGCATCGGAAGAGCAGTTGACGTATAGACAGCAACAAGTGCGGTCGTCGGTGTCGCGAGTCTCGCGTAGGCGGCGAGCACGGAGTGACCCGCGCAACGTATTGAGACGGCTGCAATTCCGGGCACCCTCGTCGTCTACCAAGCCGGCGAGACCTTCAGCGGCACCCGTCAACTCCCCTACGTGCACCAAGGGCTGGTTTGGTCCGTATGGAACTTTTTATTGTGACTTTTTTGTTAAACCGTAAACTTGTTTTAACCAGCCTTTTTTTTTAAATATTTGTAGTGTGCGCTGCGTCGCACGTTTAAATTCTAAAGAGCCACCATGATCATTCTGTAATTAATTTCTAGTGTCTCTCTCCTTTGATTTCCATCTTGTTGTTATTTTATTAATGTTCCGCATATTTGTCTTTAGTCTGTATCTTTTGTAGTGTTTTTTAGCATATTTTGTTATATAGCTGTTCTTTCCTTTGCGTATCAGTGTTACTCCTCTCTGTTATTTTTCTTATCTCCTGCCTTTGCCAGTGTTCCAATTAAATGCTTGTTTATGTGTAATCAAACTCCGTTTCTGCTCTATGAGTGCGTCGGTCAGGCCCACACATCACCACACGTGCAACCCCGCACGGGTCGACCAACCCGCAAATAAATTTGAAATGTTACACTTTGAGGCCTTTCAGGCGTCGCAGGCCGAAGCGTAAAGTGGAAGCCTGCGAGTCTGCCGCACGTCGATGTTGGATCGGCGGGGCCTCACCCGAAGTGTGTGACATTATCTGGCGTCCGCGAGACAGGACTGGCCGACCACGTGGTGGTGTCTGGGAGATCGACGTAACTCTGAGCCAACAGTGTGCAGTCACCTTGATATTAGCCCGTTGTGCGGCAGCTAGTCGTAGCAATGGAGGACACTGATTTCGATAAACTTATGGAGCAGGGCAGGGGTTTTGGTCTCGAGGGCAGAGAGTTGTACGATTTTGTGGAAAGCGAGCGCAGTAAGCGTAAAGAAGAGCGTGATGCGGAACGCGCATATTTCAGGCAACTCGCGGAATTCGAAATGGAGCAGGAAAGGGAAAAATCCCGGCTCCGAATTCAGGAGGAGAGGGAGCGTTTGTCGTTGCGTCAGCAGTCCACTCCCCAGTCGGGACAAACCACAGGCTCAGAAGCGGCCGGGCGCATGCACCCCATTAGCCCACACAAACTGATGTCCCCATTTAATGAGGCACGCGACGACCTTGACGCCTACCTGAGAAGGTTCGAGCACGTCGCGCAAAGTCAAAGGTGGCCCCGCGAAGACTGGGCTACAGCCTTAAGCCTCTGTCTCAGTGGGGAGGCGTTGAATGTTTTCAGCCGGATGGCCGCGTCAGATTGTACTGATTACGAGAAGCTGCGAAAAGCACTAATGATTCGTTTCCGTCTTACTGAGGAGGGGTTTCGCGAGAAGTTCCGAAGAGCCACACCAAATAACAACGAAACTTGCTCACAGTTTCTAACTCGCCTGAGAAATTTTCTCGAAAGATGGGTTGATCTGGCGGGTACTGGGAACAGCTACGAGGCGCTCTTTGAATTAGTCCTAAAGGAACAATTTCTGAGCACTTGCGCAACCACCTTGGAACTTTTCCTGAGGGAAAAAAACAGACGCTTCACTAGGGGATATGGTACAAAGAGCTGAACAATACACGGAGGCGCATGGCTGGCGCAACTTCTCGAGGATGGCCGCAGCGAGAGAAAGGCCGAAAGCACCGACTATCCAAATGGGACAGAGTCGAGACTACCAGCCGCTGAATGGAGCTAAAAGGCAAACAGAGAAACGGTGTTTCTTGTGCTCGAGTACCGCACATAACGCCGAAAATTGCAAGCTCTCCAACGGTGGCAAGGGCGATCAAAGAAAACCATGTCAGATATGCGGAAGGCCAGGCCACCCTTCCTGGAAGTGCTGGAAGAAGGAAACAAACAATGACCGTGCATCAACGAAAGAATCGGCAGCCGCCTGCATTGATGAGGGATTCTTAGAGTTGAAGAACGGCGAGAGAGTCCCTGTCGTCAGTGCCGGCATCACGGAAAAGTACACTGAAGTTACCGAGCGGCTTCCTGTGCTGACCGGCTTGGTGGGAGGCAGAGAAGTTCGCGTCCTCAGGGATACCGGCTGCAACACGGTCATTGTCAAAACTAGTCTGGTCAATCACGATGACTTTACTGGAACAAGCGCACCAGTCTACCTCCTGGACCGCTCAGTGAGGATGCTGCGTGAGGCATGGGTCGACGTTGAGACCCCATTTTATTCAGGCCGACTGAAGGCAAAATGTATTGAGAACCCCATATACGATCTCATCCTGGGTAACGTAGAGGGCGTACGACCGGCTGATGACCCCGATCTACACTGGAACCTCCAAAAGAAATATGATGTTGGGAGCAATGTGGACGCATCCCAAGACGCCAAGGCACAGGGGCAGGAGCTGCTGACGGATGACGGTACGGGGGAGGAGCAAAAAGGACAAGAAGTACCTCAAGCCAACCCCGCGGTTACGCGCTCACAAAGCTGTAGGGAAACCACTCGGAAGAAGTTGCGGGTACCTGAAGCTTCCCTGGACGTTAGCCGGGAAGCACTAGTCGAGGAGCAAAAAAAAGACTTGACATTACAAGCTGGATTCAATCGCCTAAATGTTGAGAAACACAGCAAGAACGGGGACCGCCACACGTTTTTCATACAAGAGGGATTACTCCAAAGAAGATACGTGTCGAAGTCCGGGGAAGGGTTCTCACAAGTTGTCGTACCAGAAAAATTTCGTGTCCCAATAATGCACTTGGCCCATGATGGCGCCATGGGAGGACACCAAGGGGTGAAGAAAACGCTCTCGAAGGTTCGAACCGAATTTTTCTGGCCGGGGATGCAGGCTGACATGAAGCGCTTCGTCGCGTCCTGTGACATCTGTCAGCGGACTGCGCCTAAGGGACATACCAGAAAAGTGCCCCTGGTCAAAGTACCCATCATTTCTACTCCCTTTGAGAAGGTGGCGATCGACATAGTTGGACCGCTTTTTCCCAGGTCAACCCAGGGCAACAAATATATTCTCACGATGGTCGACTATGCCACTCGATACCCAGATGCTGTTGCGCTACCAAGTGTAGAAACCGAAAGGGTGGCCGAAGCGCTGGTGGAAATGTTTTCGCGCGTAGGTGTGCCTCGCGAAGTACTCAGCGACCGGGGCACAAACTTCACTTCCGAAGTTATGAAGGAAGTCAGCCGCCTGCTATCTCTCAAACAGCTCCACACAACCCCGTATCATCCAATGGCGAATGGCCTGGTCGAGCGGTTTAATGGGACGCTCAAACAGATGATAAAACGCATGTGCCAGGAGAAACCGCACGACTGGGACCGTTATCTCGCTCCACTATTATTTGCTTACCGCGAAGTCCCACAGGAAAGTCTCGGATTTTCTCCATTTGAATTGTTGTACGGAAGGACTGTTCGAGGGCCGCTGGCGGTTCTAAGGGAGTTGTGGACAAATACGGCTCTTTCGGAAGAGTTGAAGACCACGTACGAGTACGTCATTTCCCTACGGGAGAAGTTAGAGCACACCTGTCGACTGGCGCACGAGGAGTTGGAGCGTGCAGGGGAGCGCTATGGCAAGTACTACAACTTGAAGAGCCGAAAGCGTTCCTTGAAACCGGGGGAGCAAGTACTGATCTTATTGCCCACGGATAACAACAAGTTGCTAATGCAGTGGAAGGGACCCTTCCACGTTGTCAGCAAAAAGGGGGACGCCGATTATGAAGTCGAGGTCGGCAGCTCCTGCAAAATTTTTCACATAAATATGTTGAAGCGTTATCAAAAGCGAAGCCCCGAAATTGCTGGAGCTGGGGCCATTGTCAGTTGCGAAGACCCGGAAAGTGGGGACATCGAGCTCTTACAGCCCCATCAATTGCAGTCTTTCCGGGACGTGAAGATATCTGATCACCTGTCAGTGCAACAAAAAGCAGAGGTCACCCAATTACTCCAAGAGCACCAGAAGATCTTTTCAGACCTTCCTGGAAGAACAGGGCTGACGGAATGCAAGCTCGAACTGACCAGCGAACGACCCGTGCACGTCCGACAATACCCAATGCCTTTCTCAGTGAGAGGCATTATAGAGGAAGAGGTAGCCGAAATGCTGAAGCTGGGTATTGTGGAAAGATCTGACTCACCCTTCAATTCCCCCGTCATCGCTGTGCGAAAACCAGATGGAACACACAGACTGTGTATCGACTTTCGTAGACTTAATGAAGTCTTGGTGGACGATGCTGAGCCAATCCCGCGGTCTGATGAGCTGCTTGCGGCGGTGGGCACGAAGCGGTTTTTCTCGAAGTTGGATTTTGCCAAGGGGTACTGGCAGGTACCTCTTGCTCTTGAGGCAAGACCGAAAACAGCGTTCGCTACCGTATCGGGGCACTACCAGTTTTGCTATATGCCTTTCGGGATAAAAACTGCACCGGCCGTTTTCACTAAACTCATGAGACGCGTCCTCTCGGACGTCCCAGACGTCGCGTACTATTATGATGACGTACTAGTCGCAAGTACCACGTGGGAGGAGCACTGTCGAACCCTCAGGGAGGTATTCATCCGCATCGGTAAAGCGGGGCTGACGGTAAAACCGGCAAAGTGCGAAATAGGCATGCAGCAGATATCGTTCCTTGGACATCAGATCGGCGCCGGGGAGCTTTCTCCGCTTTCCGGGACCTTGGATAAGATTCAGAGGGCACCCCGGCCAACCACGAAGCGACAGGTGCGATCCTTCCTTGGGCTAGCGGGATACTACCGGGAGTTCATTAGCGATTATGCAACATTGACAAGCCCATTGTCCGACCTCACCCGAAAGGGGCTTCCTAACACTGTGAAATGGGGCCCGGATCAGGAGAGCGCGTTCGTTCAGCTCAAGAAATGCCTGACAACCACACCCATACTGAAGCTTCCAGATTTCGAACGACAGTTTGTTCTACGGACTGACGCATCGGATAGGGGAATCGGAGCGGTGCTTCTCCAAGAACACGAGCAGATTCTCCACCCCGTGGCCTATGCTAGTCGAAAGTTGCTACCCCGAGAGGTAGCATACTCAACGGTCGAAAAGGAAGCTCTTGCTCTTGTCTGGGGAGTCGAGAAGTTCCAGGTTTTCTTGTACGGGAGACGTTTTCTTGTTCAGACGGATCATGAACCTCTAAAGTTCATTCAGGGGGCGAAATGTTCCAATGGACGAGTCCTTCGTTGGAGTCTTAAGCTCCAACAATACAGTTTCCGAGTACAACACATAAAGGGTTCAGAGAATGTAGGGGCTGATTACATGAGCCGAGTCGGCGATGAGGAGGCCTGAGTGTACTTAGGTTCAATGAAACGCAGATGATCGCGTCGCGTATAGCGGCCTTTGACATTCGCTTTATTTGGTTTCTGTTGTATTCATGCCATAAGGCCGCATTTTTAAGTTTTGTTTGCATACATGGATACTTCGTACCTTCTTAATTTCGTTAGAACCCTTTCTGTATCACTTTGATTTAGAAGTGCTCGGTATTTTTTTTTTCCGTGACATTGGAAGAATTATGTGTTGTGATTATCTTGTGACCAGTGTCATGATGGCCCGAAGGGGTGCTTCGAATGCAGCTCCATCAATTCTAGCAGTGTGTGTTTCTTCGCGTTTCATGTGTGTGTCCGTGTCGTGGTGCGCGGGTTATGACATTCATCGTATGGTGACCGTGAAGCGTAGTGTGTAAGGTGTTCTCTGCGATGTCGTCCACATCAGTGAAATGGTGCGCGAAAAAGAAAACGCATTGGTGGACGACCGGAACACTGAAAGCTCGCGAACATTGTGCGTTTGTGATTTTCTTGAATATTACGCAGTAATATTCTTAAGAGGGGGGCTATGTCACAAACGACTCCAATTTTCGGAGCATCCGCGGGCCACACCTACCAAGGAAGGGCGTTTTTGTGGGGAGACGACATCCGGCGACTATAACAACCCAGCGTGGCGCCGGCTCGTCTTCCCTGCCCCTGACCGGAAGGGGAACCGGCGGTCTCAACAAGGAGAATTACTCCCAGATGAGATGGGAGCACGTGGACGCCCCTGAAGTGGTTTGAACTGCATCGGAAGAGCAGTTGACGTATAGACAGCAACAAGTGCGGTCGTCGGTGTCGCGAGTCTCGCGTAGGCGGCGAGCACGGAGTGACCCGCGCAACGTATTGAGACGGCTGCAATTCCGGGCACCCTCGTCGTCTACCAAGCCGGCGAGACCTTCAGCGGCACCCGTCAACTCCCCTACGTGCACCAAGGGCTGGTTTGGTCCGTATGGAACTTTTTATTGTGACTTTTTTGTTAAACCGTAAACTTGTTTTAACCAGCCTTTTTTTTTTTAAATATTTGTAGTGTGCGCTGCGTCGCACGTTTAAATTCTAAAGAGCCACCATGATCATTCTGTAATTAATTTCTAGTGTCTCTCTCCTTTGATTTCCATCTTGTTGTTATTTTATTAATGTTCCGCATATTTGTCTTTAGTCTGTATCTTTTGTAGTGTTTTTTAGCATATTTTGTTATATAGCTGTTCTTTCCTTTGCGTATCAGTGTTACTCCTCTCTGTTATTTTTCTTAACTCCTGCCTTTGCCAGTGTTCCAATTAAATGCTTGTTTATGTGTAATCAAACTCCGTTTCTCCTCTATGAGTGCGTCGGTCAGGCCCACACATCACCACACGTGCAACCCCGCACGGGTCGACCAACCCGCAAATAAATTTGAAATGTTACACTTTGAGGCCTTTCAGGCGTCGCAGGCCGAAGCGTAAAGTGGAAGCCTGCGAGTCTGCCGCACGTCGATGTTGGATCGGCGGGGCCTCACCCGAAGTGTGTGACAGTCATAAAAAACACAGAGAGGGTATTGTTTTTGCTAGCTGCAGTATGCAATAAACTCTGCTAGTTGTGCAAGTTCCAAATTGTTGCACAGAGCCATGGTCTTGCATTTCAAAATTCTTGCTTTGGTGACTTTCACTTTGACAAAGCTTATTTAGACCGCTTGCCCTGCCTTGAAGTTGCACAAATCTACATCCATTGCTACGGAGCCACTACTTTTATCCACTTGAAATCGACACAATTGTTGCACTTGAAGAATGACAACGCCCACCATAGAATCCTCTTGACAAAGAGTAGGTTTTTCTCCTGTTCTGGTTAGAGCTTAGACACTGTCTTGTAAGCAATAGTCCCTAACTGCTACATCAACTTTGCGGCAACTCGTCTGTGCAATGCCAGTAATTAGTGAGCCAGCAAAAGAGGTTCGTGGCAAAATTTTGGGCCTTTGCTGAGTACATAGCGTATGCTTTCTGCAATGTTAACACTGCCCAGCCCAGTGAGGCTTTCCCAGGTCATGCGATCAGGCTTCTTCAGTATGAAACAGCGGGCATGCCTCATCTTCAGGTTCCAGTTTGCCTAAGTAATGTGGGCTGCTGAATGCTTGGCATCGCGAAACTTCTTCAGTGCCAGCCACTCCAAGTCCAAACTGAAGCAAAGTGCATGAAGCAGGTAAAAAAAGCACACCTGCTGCCACAAATTATGATTTCACATTCTTTCGTAACATGATCAATTGAAGGTGTGACTTCCCCCCAAAGAGCACTAACTTCTTGTAGAATATGGCCTTTCGAAGGAAACATTGCTTTCATTTGGTTGTGTTAGCAAATATGTAAATTTTAAAATCCAAATTGTGCCGGCAGGTGCACTTATTTTTTTTTACCTCGTTCATGCAATGTGCTTTAATTTGGAACTAGAGTGGCTGGTGCTAAAGAAGTTTCACAGTGCCTACCATATCATACTTGACCCGGCACAATAACAAGTGCCTAGTCAGGTATGTGTTATCAGTCGAAACGCAGTATCTTTGAGAATCCACATGCTGAAAGCTCCCTGAGGAACCATGCATCTTCGGTTAAACAGGCACACCTTTCAACATGGTCACTCTTGTGCAAAGCAGTTCAGCATGTCTATTAGACACCGCGTGCTCCTCGTCACATCACGTCGTGCCCGCAAAAGCTGCAAAGTACCACCGATCAAGCCTGGCTGCAGATGCACTAACACAGTCGGGGACATCGCTGTACATGGTTCTACTAATTGTTCCAGACATGTTTCTACGTTGATAGAAACCTGTCGAAAAGCAGTTTGTGGTACAACTATAATACATAAACTCACGTACGGCAATGTGAGTTGATTAACCAGTTGGTATTGAAAGCAACCTGCGATGTGCAACAGCTTGATAACACATGCTTTTCTTGTATATCAGCCTTTATATATGTCCAGTGCTATACAAAGACTTCCCCCCAGTTACCTACAATTTTCCCAACCCTGTGCAAGCTTATTCAATCTTATGCGTGCAAAATTTTCAATCCATCATCCCATTTAGCCCTCTGCCTTTACAAGCTATTTTTTTCCATCTTTTCGTAGTCTCACAGTCTCTCTAGCTCGTCACTTTTCTCTCCCTCACATTGCTTGACCTACCGAGGTCAACCTTCTTTTTCTTATTATCAGCTAGACTGTCAGCTAGGCCTATTTGTTCTCTATCGAGCTCTGCTTTTAGGGGCGAAGCTCCTTAAGACCTCACGATGTCCGCCGTCTCCCGTCTGTCTGTAACGCGTATTCATCTGTCTGACATTTCTGAACCATTTTCCATGTAACCTTCGACTTATAAGGAACAGAGGGTGTTGGTGGTAGCCGTTTTGCATGTAACCTTCAACTTATCAGCAAGAGAGGGTGCTGTAGTTAATTGTAAATGTGATGGTGCTGCTGTCAACGCTATATATATATATATATATATATATATATATATATATATATATATATATATATATATATATATAGCTCCACGTTTCATTGGGTCATTGCTCCTTAATGCTGGATAATACTTGCGAAGGATATTATTTAAGTTGGAAGTGCGCTTCAGGATTTGATTGCAAAGGCTAGCGGCTGGTTAGGCTGTGCTACCGGACATGTTCAGCTAGTGATGATTTCCTAATTTTGAAGCTTCATTTTGGATTTCGTTCCGAGCGTTATGCAGGTCATTTCGCCAAATGTCTTCTCTGGCTTGCATAATTGGTGAGCATAGTGATCGTTGTCGCTACAGACGCTTTTTAAACGTTTTGCTTGTCTAACGAATATCTCTTCTTTGACATGTCATGAATGATGGCTTGTGTAGTCTATGTATTATAATTGGCTATTCGTTGGCAATATGTAGAGCGTAACCTTTGATTTCCCTTTAAAAGCAAGAACTACAAGGCAACCCGATTAAAATACGCAGCACAAGAATTCACTACTGAAGATTAAATTTGGCCAAACATGTTAGCAGCAAGAACAACATTGTAAAGCAAACCAAGATCTTTTTCTTTGTCTGGTTTGACTGGAGGTGGAGTCCACTTTTCCTGCACATCCTTCCCCCTCAAAATTTCACTTGGCTCTGCCCTGTTAATTTTTCTTTTTTTAATTGGCGTTTCCTGCTGTATGTTTGTGGTGCTGGCAGAGGATTTGTCGTTTTTTTCATACCGCACAACAAAGAATGTTTCAATGGATACCGTCATAGCCAGGAAGTTGATTTTGCTAAAAGTATGGTGCATGGTAGATTAACCACCTGGGTGAAACTTCCTACAATTGCCAATATTTGCAATTGTCATGAATCCATGTCAGAAAGGAGGCTAGCAGCAGAGCTATTGAATCTATTCTTCAAAATGGTTCTATTTTCAATATTATCAGTTTCACCTCAAGACAGCTTATCCATTGAAATATCAACAAACAATATTGAAACCAAGATAAATGCATGTCTTAGTCTCTGCTGATGATACCGTTTAAAGAACAATTGGATTAAATGCCATGTTTTGCCACAATTGAACCCACGTGGTTGAAAGTGTGGAAGAAAACTCTGGAGGGATTTATAGGCCTATGCTGCTGTAGTCTCGAGCAGTTTGGTTCCCTTCACTGCAGCAATGTGGCATGGTTGAAGTCAAATTGTACACACTCCGTACTCCCAGCACCACTTTGCTGTGCAGCTTTGCACTTGATTCACAAGCTTCTTGTGTGTATTTTACAAAAACATTACGAGGATACTTAAGAAAAACACTGGTTTTGTTTAGGTTTACAAACTGCACCCAGAGAAATCTAATGCCAATGCCGTATGTTTCACTATCACAAGAATTCTAATGCCACTGCCATATGTTTCACTATTACAAGTTCATTATTAGTGAAAAAAATTGAGGTTGAAGTTTCACTATTGACATTTGTACCAAAATGTCGATGGGTGGCGTCAAAAATTTCTCAATATATTTTTCATATTTTTGCAATTGGCTTGGTAATATTTTTGAA